GGAGGAGGGGGCCGCTGGGAGGGGCAGGGAAGGGGAGCCCCCGGTCGCCTCGCTCGGGGAGGCGACGCGGGGGGTACGGGGGAGGAGGGGAGGGGGAGGGGGGCCGGGGCGCGCCCGCCGGCGGCCGGGGGCGGCGGGAGCGGGGGAGGGCGGCGGCGGGGGGGGGGAACCCTAGCACTGTTTCCTGCAGCGAGCAGTCCTCTGGGAGGAGGGTAGACAGCCTTTTTCAATAGAAAGTTTACTGCATATCAATCTTTGCTTTTTCTTATCTAGGCTGCCGCGACAGGAGAGCAGAAAGCCGAGGTGGTCACAAATCACATTCTGAAGGTGCATGCGAATCAGCTACTTATTTTATAGCTCAGTTGTAGTTAACATAGAATTACACAGTTGTAATAGGAATGCTACCAAGTTCCTTTCTTCATGTCCCTTTCTTTAAGTTCACAGAAAGTTCTAGGAAATTAAGAAGTGACTACATTACTAATTCTTTGATTTTTTTTTAATTATGGAAGGTCTTGGGGTTGGATATCTGTGCCGATACACTGGTAGGCAATAATATGTTGAGAGGCATATCAGGAGGGCAAAAAAAGAGAGTAACTACAGGTAAATATAGCCTATGAGTAAGAAACCTACCAGATGCTTATGTGTTATTACGGAACTAAATTACTTCATACTTCTACACAATCCAACTCATCCATTCTCTGACATGGTTGTGCAGCTGAGATGCTTGTCACACCAGGACGAGCCCTTTTCATGGATGAGATATCAACTGGACTTGACAGCTCAACAACCTTCCAGATTGTGAACTCCATCCGACAAACAATCCACATTATTGGTGGAACAGCAGTCATTGCCTTGCTACAACCTGCACCAGAGACATATGAATTGTTTGATGATATAATTCTCCTCTCAGACGGTCAGGTTGTCTACAATGGCCCTCGAGAACATGTGCTCGAGTTCTTTCAATCAATGGGATTCAAATGTCCTGAGCGAAAAGGCGTAGCTGACTTCTTGCAAGAAGTGAGTGTCATCAAAGTTTATATGAAGCTTTCTCTAATTATGGATTTATTTTAAAAATGCATTATTGCGAAATACCTTCAAAATAAAAAATGTTAAATTTCTAGGAAATTTCACAAAATGCAAAGTGTGCTCACAAGTGGAATGAATGGAGCCACATATTTTAATATTACACAAAGTTTGCATCTTGGGCAAAATATGGCAAGCTGCAAAATTGATAGTTGTAGAAAACTCTGTCATAAGTTGGGAATTTTTCACCCCAAAATAACTTGGGATTTTCTTAATACCAGGATCATAATTGGCTACGATGTTTAAGTGTGACTGACTATAACTGGAAATTTGATAGGTTACATCAAGAAAAGATCAAGGACAATACTGGATAAACAGTGATGAGACATACCGATATGTTCCTGTTAAGGAGTTTGCGGAGGCATTTCAAGCTTTCCACGTTGGTCAAGCTATAAAGAGTGAGTTAGCAGTGCCGTTTGACAAGAATGGAAGTCATCCTGCAGCTCTGAAAACTTCACAATACGGTGCCAGCATGAAGGAACTACTCAAAGCTAATATCAACAGAGAGATACTGCTCATGAAAAGAAACTCCTTTGTGTATATATTCAAGGCCACCCAGGTGATGATTCTAAAAGGCAAAATCTACAAAAAGTTCAACACTACCTGATTTCGTTGTTATCCTAGAAAAGTATACAAGAACATAACATACATTTTCTTATTATTTCTCTTTATTCTTCAGTTGACACTCATGGCGATCATCGCAATGACTGTCTTTCTGCGCATCAATATGCATCATGACTCGGTGACAGATGGAGGGATATACATGGGTGCTCTCTTCTTTGGGATTTTGATGATCATGTTCAATGGTTTAGCAGAAGTAGGTCTAACTATTGCAAAGCTCCCTGTTTTTTTCAAGCAACGGAATCTTCTCTTCTTTCCAGCATGGACATACACGTTGCCGTCATGGCTCATTAAGACCCCTCTCTCCTTGCTCAATGTAACAATTTGGGTCGGCATAACATACTATGGCATTGGATTTGATCCCAACGTACAGAGGTAAGGGTGGAACTCTAACATACATGATCTTTCTTAATGTATTGCAGAAGCTAATGAAAACAATGCAATGCTACAGATTTTTTAGGCAGTTCCTGCTGCTCTTTTTAATGAACGAGGCATCGTCTGGACTCTTTCGCTTCATTGCTGGTCTTGCAAGGCATCAGGTTGTTTCAAGCACCCTCGGTTCCTTCTGCATACTAATTTTTATGCTCACTGGTGGATTCGTCCTGGCAAGAGGTATGCAAAAGTAGCTAAGCTAAAGTCGAAAACTGATTTTGAAGTGTCCACCTAAGAACACCTGGACTAAATTTCCTCAGTTCAGTTACTTTTTCCTCATTGGATGTGGTATCTGTGAATCATAGATTAAATCATTCCTTTGATTTAACAGAGAATGTAAAGAAATGGTGGATATGGGGGTACTGGATATCACCCCTGATGTACGCACAAAATGCACTATCGGTGAATGAGTTCCTAGGTCACAGCTGGAACAAGGTAAATAGACTTTTGTGAAAAAGGATAAACAATCATCTTTCTGAATATGTCTGGCTAAAGCATATTGTTACTGCTATACTACAGACAATCCCCGGTTTCAAGGAACCACTTGGAAACCTAGTTCTGAAATCTCGAGGGGTCTTTCCTGATACGAAGTGGTACTGGATTGGTGCTGGTGCCTTGCTCGGATATGTGCTACTATTTAATATCCTCTATACCGTCTGCCTCACATTCCTCGACCGTGAGTCAGAAATAACTTGTATTTAGAATGCAAATAGGTAGCTAATTTTGCAATTTCAAAAAACAATGCTGTAAATTCTAATCTCATACATTCTCCTATCTGCAGCATTTGACAGCAACCAGCCAACAGTATCTGAAGAAACATTGAAGATAAAACAAGCTAATCTCACTGGTGAAATTTTAGAAGAATCATCGAGAGGACGGGTTAACAACAGTACAATAGCATCTAGAGGTACTTACCGATTCCATACTCATCAATTTGAAGAAGATATAACATAATGGCCAAGTGGCAAAGCTCAATAAATTTGACTTCCTAGCCTGATAGTTGAGGTATAATTTAAAATTACCACTTGCATATGTCTACCAGATACTGAGGATGGGAGCAATGATGAATCAACTTCCAATCATGCAACAGTGAATTCTAGTCCAGGCAAGAAAGGAATGGTCCTCCCTTTTGTGCCTCTCTCCATCACATTCGATGATATAAAATACAGTGTAGACATGCCACAGGTATTTTCTTTTTGAAAATTCTATAAAGTACAGATACGTACAATATATGGAACATAAATGAGTGAAAATATCATGCGTAACTCCTTTATCCAACAAAAAATGTAGGAAATTAAAGCACAAGGTGTGGCAGAGAGTCGGTTGGAACTACTGAAGGGTATCAGTGGTTCATTTAGGCCAGGAGTGCTTACAGCTCTTATGGGTGTCAGTGGTGCCGGTAAGACAACACTGATGGATGTGTTGGCTGGACGGAAGACCAGTGGATACATAGAGGGCAACATTACAATCTCTGGTTATCCAAAGAAGCAAGAAACTTTTGCTCGTGTATCGGGATACTGTGAGCAGAACGACATTCATTCACCAAATGTGACCGTCTATGAGTCTCTTGCATTCTCTTCATGGCTCCGATTACCTGCCAATGTTGATTCCTCGACAAGAAAGGTTTGCAAAGAACAATTTGCTTTTTTTGAATGTTTTCATAGTATACGAGTATATATATTTATTACAAAACTGTATGAAACATGATTAAGTGAGAAAACTAATATTGCAACTGATTATGTTCCGTAAAACAAATTGGCAACTGATCTTAAATGTTGTGCGATATAAAATATAAAATCGATAACTGTAGAATTCAGATTCACCGAAATGATTCAGACAGATATTTTGACGTGACTGTTGATCACATTTATGTACTAGTCATATCTTGGCAAGGGCGACAATACCTGCTGACTGCTCTAACACATGAAACCTGGTCTGCAGATGTTCATTGATGAGGTCATGGAATTGGTGGAACTCTCCCCCTTAAGAGATGCATTGGTTGGATTACCTGGTGTGAGTGGATTGTCGACTGAGCAAAGGAAAAGGCTAACAATAGCAGTGGAGCTGGTTGCTAACCCTTCCATCATTTTCATGGACGAACCAACATCTGGACTTGATGCACGGGCAGCAGCCATTGTCATGAGGGCAATAAGGAATACTGTAGATACAGGACGGACAGTTGTTTGCACCATTCATCAACCAAGCATCGACATATTTGAGTCTTTTGATGAGGTAATAAATGCAGTGCCTACATGTAGTAAAGAAAAAAAACAGTAAGCAACACACAGACAATTCATACTGTTTATCAACGCATTTAATACCTGATGATCCTGTGTGTCTTTGTAGCTCTTCCTGATGAAACGAGGAGGTGAAGAGATTTATGTAGGTCCACTAGGCCGGCACTCATGTGAACTGATTAGATATTTTGAGGTGACGGAAGAGAACATAAATTAGTGCATGTTTATATATGCAGCCTCGCACCTAACAAAAATGTTACTGAATTGTTTTCCTTCGGTTCTACACAGGCTACTGAAGATGTCAGAAAGATTAAAGACGGTTACAATCCTTCAACATGGATGCTGGAAGTGACTAGTGCAACACAAGAACAGATGACTGGGATTAACTTCAGTCAAGTATACAAGAATTCTGAACTATATCGGTAGGCTTCTGGTTGCATTACTTCATGATTTAATAACTAAAGAATGAAAGACTGAAAAATATTGATTTAAGCTATGAAATCTTATATTTCGAAACAAAGAGCAAAAATCAACATTCTCTTCAGCATGTTTAAAGTTTAAACTAGTATTTAAGAGGGAGATCTCTAAACTACAAAACACCAGAATATTTTCGGACAAATATGCATTACAAACAACATTGAAATCATATATGGCCCATTTTAAAAGCATGACAACACTAGTATCATACTAATATTCAGTTTAATCTTCTGCAACTGAATAGTGTCTTAAATGTGCACTAATATTGTCGGTTTTGTTGCATTTCAGGAGGAACAAAAATCTAATAAAGGAGCTAAGCACACCTCCTGAAGGTTCAAGCGACCTATCCTTTCCAACCCAATACTCACAAACTTTCCTCACACAGTCTTTTGCTTGCCTGTGGAAGCAAAGCCTGTCATACTGGAGAAACCCTCCATATACAGCTGTCAAGTACTTCTATACTACAGTGATTGCACTGTTGTTTGGGACAATGTTCTGGGGCATTGGCAAAAAAAGGTAAGATAATATGTAATAAAAGAAAGTACAAAATAATACATGGTATTTGTTGAGATTACATATGGTTCTTACCTTCAAAATTCACTAGAAACATTTTACTCTTGCAGACACAATCAACAGGACTTGTTCAATGCCATGGGTTCCATGTATTCCTCAGTTTTGTTCATGGGGGTGCAGAACTCTGCCTCAGTTCAGCCAGTTGTGGCTGTTGAGCGCACGGTCTTTTACAGGGAAAGAGCGGCTCACATGTACTCACCTTTGCCATATGCATTGGGACAGGTAAATTTTACTTTGCATTAACTTTCGTCTGTAGTTATGTTATATGCCAAGTAAAAACAAGACTAGGAAGCTCAACAAACAGATGGCATCACATTCTCATGTAAAACATAATAAACAGATGCAAACGAGGCTTCATAAAAGGTTTCAGATAATATTGAATTACAGCCAGAAAAGATGGTACA